TTTTTCATGTCAGTGCCTTTTATATGGGTTTTTCTCATTGTTGAAGGCCGTACTGTTGCCTATAATTGCTTACATCCACTTTTTTTTTAAATTTTGGTGGATAGTTGTCTCATTGGCAATCATATCTCATCTCCTTATTTTTATATTGTTGAACTTTCGTACGATATGTATGTGTTTTCTATTAATGTATACCTCTATTTTTCGGATATATAATAAATATCTCAGAAAGTATAAAAAGTTATATAAATTGCTTTTTCGATATTCATGTGCAGTTCCTCGTGCTTTAAAAGTTGAATGTAAAATTCCGTGAGATCGTCCATTTACGTACCTTTTGCCTGAAGTTGCAGGGGAGATAATGACGTGCTAACGTAAAATGTTATTTTTCGCGACGTCAAACTGTGACTTATCGGTCGTCCCACTGTCTGTATCACTCTGCTCAGCTCTTAAGGTAGTATGGGTGTCTTTCGCCATCTTGGATTGTAAATAACAGAGAACCTAAGGTCCAGATTTTCAAATGATGAAATTAGCAAAATTTGATGAGGAATGCAGATAACTAATGTGATTTTTCATTTAAAAGAATAAATTTATAAGATTTTAACTTATAAATATTATATTTTTACAAGCTAAGATTATTTTTGCTTGATTTTTAATGTTTTTGAATTGGCATTTTAAGGGGAGGTTATAGTTATACTGAAATAGTGCATTTTCTGAAGGAATCTACATGATTTTTTTCAATTTGATATTTTAGCCGGAAAAAACGTACGGTGACCCTATCTTTTCTTTTGATATTCTCAAAGCATTTTCCAAAAGCTATCTTCTCGTATTTTATTTTACAATTCTATCATTTAGTTTAGCTTCTAATCACATAACCGATGTTTTTTCCTGTATAATCCATACAAAAATATGTGTCATTTTGTCACAACATGTAGCTTGAGAAAAGGCTCGGTGACCTAAAATTTTTATTATATTTTTGAACATAACACAATATATACTACGTTTTGGCAAAGTATGAACAAATTCTATCATTTTTAATTTATACTCCCATATCACCTAAATAAAATTGCATATCACGGCTTTGTGACGTCAAATACGTTGACTCGGCCTTAATAACTTTGACCCGGACATATCACCGACGTCATAATGAACGAACCGACGTTGACCGTAAGTTTGATCCGAACTTATCAAGTCATCTTCCGTTTTGCTGGTGAAACACTTGGTTCTATCATGCAAAATACGCAAATACAACCCGATAAATCGATTATCTGGTTGCCTGCATATTTATATTGTAAAATATCAGCTGATCGACACAATATGAAGCCTTTTTGAACTCGTTCGCTACGCTCACTCGACAAAAAGCTTCATATTGTGACTCGCAGCTGATATTTTACAATATCAATATGCAGATAACTTGATAAACGGACTTATAGGTGTTCTAATTGTCTGTATCAATCGGCTCATCTCTTCATAAAATTGCTTATCACTGACAGTTGGAAAGCAAGTCCTTGGAAACGTCCGTTGTCGTCAAGCTCTATCAGCAACAATAGCAGGGGGAATTAATTAGGTGGCGCTAGAGTCGTTGGTGGCGTCAAAAAGTCCGCGAAATAAATCGGCTAAAAATCGACGTTTAAACTATTTTTTTAACTTGTCATGCTTTTATTATAATTGATTTTTAAAGTTTGTAGATTTTGTGAACAATATAGTTTCAATACGACATTGAAACATTGTCGAAAATAACTTTAATTAGCTATTACTTTATCCTGTCCGTTCTAAAAATTATCAGCCATCTTTTATGTTCGCCAAAAACATCGAATTTATATAACTTGACGTTTGCGTATCCAAATACGGAATAGAACGTTAAAAATCTTAAATGAAACCGGGTAACCTATTTCAAATTTCTACACTATTATGAAGCCATCATTTTTTACTCTTATACAACAATTTTAGTGACCACCAGTCATGTCAATTTGTAGCTGGTTTTGACTGATTTTCTAGTTCAAAACAGTGAATGTTCAGCTTCTTTTCATTGTACCTGTTTCCAAAGTACTCTAAAATGCTGATTTTATTAGAGATATGAATGAAATTGTAATTAAGAATTGTTGTTTTTCACAATTCCATACGATACTTCCATTTCAAAGTGACTAAAACCCTTATTGATCCCCTACACAAATTGACGGTGACATTGTTTTCTTTTTTCAACATACGTCATATAACGTTAACAAAATATGTGTCAGGGTCATGTGCATAGACTATAGTGAAAATTTACAAATTGGAAAAGTGAAACAAAGATCATCTTTATTGTGTTTGAAACTACGTCTTAATAGAAAATTTCTTTCATACTGGAAACAAATCTGACAAATCAATGAATGGACAAAAACACCAAAAAAATAGCAAGAGAAGATGCCTTGCAAAATTTCTGGAGGAAAAAATCATATGAAAAAGTAGTCCAATAATTATAACGTCTTGAAAGGCTATTATATTTTTTTTCTTTGACGCCTTACATCGCTTTCAAGACGTCATAATTATTTGGACTAATGAAAAAGGAAATGAAGGTCAGTTATTGAGTTAATTATACTTATAAGTTAAAAACCTTGCTTATGTGATTATCTCTGACTTTATTAAATAAGCTACAGTAATAAGTGCAAAAACTAGCATATCAAGTCAAACAAGAAATTTAATTCATAGAGATGTTTTCTTACAAAATTGAATTATTCAAATGCCTGAAATGGCAAATTCTTATCTTTCACAATCATTAGGTAAAAGGCACAAGATTTGTTTTACCAATTATCATTTGTGATATAAATTTCCAATTATCAATTAGATAAAAAATATCAAATACTTTGTTTAAAATATGTATACCAGCTGATACAGCAACCTGAAGAGTAGAAGCCCTATTTTTTTCTCAAAAAGTTTACTTTCTTAATCTATAAAATACCCTCAGAAATTTGGCAAGGGCTACTAGCTGTGCTTGCTAATCTAATAATTGCATTTTACAATAATAATGATTTTAAAATTCAAATTATGTCACTTATAACTTTAAGTATTATTTTTTCCAGACTTTCTTTCAAAATTTTTGATAAAAAACAGATCCTCTTTCTCAAATTCTGTAGGATCTTTTCTAGGCAGTGCTGTACTGTTCAACTAAGAAACATAGGATTGACCTAATAGGTTTTTTTTTACTTAGAAGAAACTATTGTGACTCATGGTCCCACTTTTTAGAATATAAGTTATAACATTTAAATAATCAGTATTATTTATTATTTTTTATTTCAGAAAGATTATTTAAATTATATATGAGGGGCCTGATGGGTTATTTTCGTTCTTCGTGATCGGCGCATTTTCGCTATCGTGATCCGTTTTTCTACAGATTTTTTTTTTTTATATTTTCGTGATCCGTGATCATGGAGATTTATTTTCTGTGAATCGTGATTGACAAAAAAACCAACTCGTGAATCGTGATGAGACCCCACCCCATCAGGCCCCTCTAGTATAGGTTTCTGGGTGGCATTTCTAAATTTTTACCAATTTTTTGTCTTCTAATTTTTACCACTAAAATCCTTCTCTGAAAAGTAGGGAAGTATCTCTTCTTAATATTATAATAACATACTTGTAAATCGAATTCCATTTATTTTCTTCTTGATTTTTGTAAAGTAAACTTCTTTTATTTTTTTTGCTGGGTTTTTATTTTTGACTGATATCAAGGGGAGATAACCACTTCCACAAATCGGCAAAAAAAACCACCGCTTCGTGTTGAAAATAACTTGACGTTTGCGTATCCAAAACTCTATTGCCTAGATATTCATATCGTGTGTTTGTCTTAATGAGATGCTTTATCAAATTTAAATTCAGCCCATCATTTTTAGTTTCCTCGAAAATATTTTGATTTTTCGATCAAGAGACTTGACAATTTTCACGCAAATTTCAAGTTTGAAGGTAAAATTAAGAAGGAAGGACTTTTAGTTGACGTGAAAGTTTTGACGAGTTAAAACTATGTATATTCAAGATTATTTAGATCAATAACTTTTTATCATGACAGTGGCATTTTATTGAGTAAGAACGAGGTTTGTCTCAGTCGTTGTTTTATAGAATTTTCACGGTCACGTGACTCTATTGTTGCTGATAGACTTGGGGTCAAACCGTGACCTGCTTTCCAACTGATCACGGCATTGCAACGTCAAATAAGTCGACCCGGCCTTTGATAACTTTGACCCAGACATACCACCGACGTCATAATGAATGAACCGACGTTGATAAGTTTGACCCGAACTTATCACGTCATCTTCTGGTTTTCTGGTGAAACAAAGAAAAAAAACTTGTTTCTATCATTCTAATACACAAATGCAATCCGATAAATCGATTATCAGGTTGTGTGCTCATTGATATTTAAGGAATGACTGTAATATTTTTTCTGTCTATGAAGAAATAACATCAAAAATGTGGTGCACACTGAATAACCCGCGTAGCGGATTATTTTAAAGTGTGCACCACATTTTTTATGTTATTTCGAATAGACAGAAAAAATATTACAGTCATTTCTTATAATTTAATTCTGAATTCCATTTTAAACCGGAGTAAACCATGAAAAAACGTTGATGACGTCACGGTCACATGACAAAATTATGTCTATGAGCTGATAAACAAAACAACGTCAGCCAATCAGAAGACGCGTTACATCCAAAATTAGATTATTATAAAATATCAGCTGCGAGTCACAATATGAAGCTTTTTTGTCAAGTAAGTGCAGAGTAGCGAACCTCCTTAAGTGGTGTTTTTTTTTAATGTTTATGAATGTTAGCCATACACTGTGATTTATAATAGTAATTAAAGGGACACAGTTAGTCCCGATCGGAACACCAATCACTTTAGGTATTTTGGTAAACCCAACACTATGGGAAACGTGTTTCTGTAATTCATCGAGTACTTTCAAAATGAGTCATGATAACTGGAATGAAATAACCACTCTATCTAAATAAAATTATTATAACTCTCTGTTTGCCTTGTAGATGGTTTGCGAGCCCTCCTTGAAAAGGAACAAAAACAATCAAAGAAAGTAAGTATATTTATAACATTTTAACTTTTTAACGGGTAATACAATAACGTGCGTCAATTCAATATGTTGATTCATTTTTATATTAATTACAAAAGTTTTTTTTTTTAATTTTAAGTCTCTCTAACTTATACACAAAATTTGATTTAACCAGTACTTTATAAGAATCATGTATATTAAAGTATCAATATCTGTAGGAGAAGGATAATGGTATAACACTCTCCGATCAAGAAGAAATTATAATGTGGTTTGGAGTTGCTGGTGGTGCCATTGTCTTCATTATTTGCATATTTTTTGTAATCAGGGTAAAGTATTAATATCATACTTTTGCAAGACAGTTAGCATTATTTATTATAAGCCCTAGGTAACAATGTCAACTAAAAAGTTTAGCTCGAGTCCTTGACAAAAATATGTGTTCAGCTTTTTACTTTTTTTTCTTTCTGTTTTTATGTCGTATTAATTTGGTTCGATTGTACCTGATGATAGGTTATCCCTCGGTCGCATTAAAATTAATAAAATTTCCTGATTAAATCGGGAGAAGTAAGAGATTTTCAATTTAAAGCATTTCGTATTGAATAACAAAATTATGGTCATCATATACATAATAAAATTGAGAATGGAAATGGGGAATGTGTCAAAGAGACAACAACCGAACCAAAGAGCAGAAAACAGCCGAAGGCATATTTTCAGTGAGTACCTTTCATATATTCTTTATATATAAACAGCTAAACAAAGATTCATCTGCAAAAACAACAAAGTATGATAAAGGCAGCCTTGATGTAGATGGAGGATTGTCACGAGATAAACGGGACACCTGTTGTGAGTAAGTAATTTGAAAAGATATATAAACATTCAGTTAAAATAAAAAAAATAGAAAAGTTTATGTAAAATTATGTATCATTTTATTTACACAGTTTCTATTATTGTGCACAGTCAAAATGAATTAACTGTAAAAAAGATTGTGTTACAGTCACTGACCGTATAAATACTGAATAACAATAAACTGTCTAAAAATATAAAATTTATTTGTACGGTTTAGAAGAATTAAAAATCGCACAAAACTACCAATCGAATGAGTTACAAAAGATATTTATTGTGTCGTTTTCAAATGAAAGAAGTGACAAATATTTGCTTTTTGAAAGTATCATTGCACTGATTTTTTTTTTAATTTTGCTTGAGACGTCGTAAAATATTTCAGAACGTTGGAAAGGGATTGTCACACAAGATATGAAGCGACAATAGTGGAAACACATTTTCTGAAACAATTTTTGCAATTATCTCTAAAATAAGAAGGGTATAACACATACTTTTTATTTATACTTTTTCACAATGCACAATAAAAGGCAAATCATGAAAATATTAGAATATGAGTGACTAGAACCTTGTACGACCATAAAGGTCGACAAGTTTAACATATTTTTGCATGTAATACGAAAACTCGATTAATTTTTGAAATAAAACACCACTGCTGACATATAATATTATTTTCCTTTATGCACATTTATCAGAAATTTTAAATAAAACAACATTGGTTCATCTATTTCGAAAAAATATCCGTTTTATAGATATTTTAAAGTTGACCGATGTTTTTTTTTAATCACTATAGTTCCTAATTTGAACCTCATTTTTCTCGAATACTAGCAATATAACATATGTATTATGGTATAACTTTAAGAGAAATCGTGTCGATCTACAACAAACTCAAAATCACAAAAGTGACAATACAATGTGAGACTGTATCGAATCTCCATAAAGATTTTAAAAAAAATACTCAGATTTTAAGAAAAGGAGAAGCTATAAATGAGATAGAAACCCAACGAAACATAAAGCATAAAATAAAGACAATTATATGTCAACATACAATTTTTACATCGCGATGACCGTGAGGGCATTCCGATGACCATCATGTATTGTTGCCAGAGAGATTTACATTACGTAACTTTCGTGTTTGACTGATAACCGATCTATAATCTATAAATACGCGGCCATCATCGAGTGCAAAATAACATTCCTTATCGCTTGTTATAAATTCATTTCTTCAATGAATACTCATAAAATATTTTTTTTAGAACATAAATTAATAATATGAAAATGTTTTGTTATATAAATGAACACATCCATGTATCACCATCACTGCTGGTGATCCGATGGATAATGTACACAGCCATGTATCACCATCACTGCTGGTGATCCGATGGATAATGTACACAGCCATGTATCACCATCACTGCTGGTGATCCGATGGATAAATCTGTTGTAGAGTTGTAACTGGTTCTGATGTACTTATAAATATAATTATTTCTGTGACTGTATCTTGCATTAATTTGTAGGATCCTTTACAATAGATATTTCAGCTGATCTTAACAATTCCATCTTCATGCCTTATATATCATGTAATGTATTACGACGCTAGATTAAAACTGACGAGGAAAGGTAACACCCGGCCACCGAAAGCTGTATTATTGTGAAGCCTAGGTTGTCTAGCGCGTCGGATACAGTGCCGGCGATTTGATATCACGATATGTCAGTAACATGAGTTCGAGTCCCGGCGAGGGAAGAACAAAAAATTTGCGAAAGCAAATTTACAGATCTAACACTGTTGGGCTGATGTTTTAAGTTAGACGAGTTGTATATATATATATATATATATATAAGTAAAAAATCATTAATATCTATGCACATGTACAGAAAAAATTGTGTTAACGCATGCGGAAGAATATCTCAAGAACATTTGCAATCTCCCATGCAGAGTTATCGGTCCTTGCTCTCTCTCTCAAGGACCGATAACTCTGCATGGGAGATTGAACGTTTTGCGGGGAAATATGAATGCCTACTCAAATCCAATCTATTAGAAAAATCGAATTTTTACGGAAGAGTGTCCACCATGCACTTGCACTACACTATTATAAATATAGTAGAATAGAATGATATACAAATGGATGAAAATTATATATACATGTAACTGTAATATACAAATATTAATATAATATATAACAACAAAACTAGAGTATACTGATTTGTATCACTATATATAATAGTTATTACGATGAGGTTGAATTCCCTGTCATTTATTTATCATCCACGCACGAACATGTCTCAGAATTTTTTTTATATCTGTACATTAACCTCACTTTCAGGTATAGAGATGTGATTTTTTTCTGAGACAAGTGCTTGTGACCATCCACAAGAACTTGCGGTCGTCCGATGTTCAGTACTTCAGTACTTTGATTAAGTTTACTTTATGTCAAATTTCTATTAAATAACAGAAACTCTCAGAGATCCACGATATAATGTTCTTTTTTTTTTTTTTTGGTTCTTAGGTTATTCATCTTAATGTACCAAACACAAAATGGAGTTTGAGTCATTATTTTTATTTAATGAATGGCTATTATCTATTTTGAATTTATTGAACCATAAAATTAATTTTTGACTCTTCACATTGAATAATCCGCGAAGCGGATTATGTAAAATGTGAAGAGTCAAAAATTAATTTTATGGTTCAATAAATTCAAAATAAATAATAGCCATTCATTATAAATAAATTTCTATCAAAAATAAGGCTCAAAGAGCATTTTATATTATTTATATTTACAATAAGTTGAATAACAACGTACACACATGTTGGCGTATGAATACACAACGTCAGAGTGGGCGTGTCGCCATAAAAATTGACAACATTGAAAATAAAGGTAATACTTTTAACCAATCAGAAGACAGTAAATACACCAAATTTATTTATTATTTGTTAATGTTTAAAACGACATCATATTAACAAATTGAATCTCAACCTGTGATGCTGAATATTTCAGTTAAAAGACTTTGGAAGTTGTCCTGATGTGAAATCAGGACGAACATGTTTAAGTTTGGACACTTATCTTTAAATTGACCACCACCAAATGTAAACATAATTTTCTATTCGCAATCAGAAAAAAGACACACTTACTGGATACAAAAGAATAATTCTAAGTCGTTTTTTTATTTTGTTCAGTTCATTTATGGACAAGCTTAGACGTAACAGTAGAACAAGTCTAGCAGAAAAGGAAAAACTATTACAACAGAGGGTAATCATCCAGAAAAATCCAATACCACAACCTCATTCTTATCCATCAGAAAAAAAGGTTTGTACATTTTCCTAAAATATCACCAAACTTTTGATCTCTTATGCAATATAAGATGGGATATACGTCAAAGAAACATCAATCCAACGACATATATAGCCAAAAAAATACAATCTTCCAGAAAAGTTGTGAATAATTAAACAGAGACTTCAAAGGTGTACCATCAACACCGAATTCTCCAAATACAACAACAAAAAATATAGATCCATTCTAAATGACGTTCCTGGCTTGAAACAGGAAAATACATATGTATTACATTGTTCTTAGATAAAGGGTTTGCACTTTTTTTCTATTAAACTCTTATTTTTATATTTTCTCTCTTAACACCATTTTCGTATGTTTTGTGATTTTTAAGATTGAAACTTATAGTGTCCATGGGTCTTACCGCCTCGATGATCTCATGGCAGAGCGTTCGCGTGGAGTTGGGACGATCATGGGCTCGATCTTTGGCCGCATTAAACGAAAACTTGATAATTGAACTTGATTTATTGATTGTTGGTTGCTTAACGTCCAGTGGCAAATAGTTCATGCATATTCAGGACGAGATTAGATCAACAATAAATACAATAGGTACTAGTATGTCCTGTATTAGAGGCCGTCCGGGATGAAGCCTTGAAGGTCGGGGAAATTTGGACTGCCACAGGAAAATAAGGGAATATTGGATAGGGACAGAAATCTAGCCTTGCAACAGGCCACCTACGGCCCTCTCAAATTGTTGGGGGCTTAACGTGCAAAAAGCGTGGCAATTTCTTTTTACGAGGCATCTGATTTAATCCCCATTATGACCGGACGTGGCTGCGAATTTGTACATCCCACACAGACAAATGGACGCCCCACTTTGAGAGGGTTTTACTGCTAGTCAAAGGAAGACCATCTACAAAAACTTGAGGCTCGTTTTTTATTACATGTATATTGAAATTTAATAACTTGAGTTGATATCAAGCGATATCCAATATTCACGATTTTCTCTTATAGTCAACGCTCTCATTGTGTTTAATTAAAAATTCCTCAAATTGTTGATTTAGTCTTTTGCACATATATCAGTATGACGTCACATCTCTTGTTCCGGTTTCAAACTTTAACATCAGACATTTTGAAAATGTTTTCACGCCTCAGAATGCAATAAATTTTAACAAAATGAAGATTTTCAGGTGAAAACTGTGAATGTTTTGTATATTATTAAAGAAATAAACATATGGACGAAATGTACATCGTCTTAACCTTTGAAAATCATCAATGACTTATAACGAATAGGCAATGGAAATGTCGTAATTCGTCTCATAAAAATAATTAAAAGTTCCACCCTAGAGTAGTCAAAATAATTATGACGTATGTAAAAGATGAGGTATTGGAATGCCCTTTATCGTCAGGCGTCAAACGGTCATTTTCGGCTACCGTTAGCGTCCAATTGGTTAAAATTTTACCGTGATTCGTCAGAGGTCTCAAATAATTATCGTTACCGTTATTTTTTGAAAAAAATTTAACGTGATTCGTCAAAATCAGTCGATTTTTTTATCGTCTAAAAGAAAATGTACATTTTATCGTCATGCACAAAAAAAATTACTGTTAACGTCATTTGGCAAGAATTTTTACCGTTATTCGTCATGAAGGTACCGGTACCCCCATTACGACCCTCATATTTTCTGGTAGGTGGGAACCAACCCCTACTGAAAAATGGTAATTTTCAGTCTATTTTTCGATTTTAATACGACCTTGAGAGGTTAACATTGACTAAACTGTGTTTCTTTGTCATTCAAATATTACCTTACAGTTACAGCAGTCTATCCATGCTGACTGGAAGTAAATGTGACTTGAGAATCTTGCTGAGGAATTATTATTGGCTAGCCAAATATGCCTAAATGTCCGTTTTTACCGATTTCTGACAAAACGGTGACCTAGATTTTACAGACCACATTTCTTTTGGCCATATTATACCTCCTTGTGTTCCTGTACCATCTATGCATGTATTTATGATAATAGTTGATACCTTCAGCCCATACCAGTAACGTAGTGGCCATAAAAAGACTCCCACCCCCACCTGATTTTTGCTACTTTTCACGTTTTTCCGATTTTGAACTCTAAAAAGGCCATAAAAGTTGCCTTATTTTCCAAGGTTATTCTCTAAATGTCTTATCTCAATTCGAGTAAAATCGAAAATGGCGTGACTGTAAAAACATGCCAACTTAATAAATTGTGGAACATTGTTTCTGTTGTCTACTATCATCAGTTAAACTCATATTTTTCATTTTAGAAGGAGAAAAGGAAGAGCGATAGAAAGCAAATAGCAGAAGACGGTACGAATTCAAAGTCAACCCAGTGTGGTACGGTTGACTTTGATGTGTCACTGACATCGTTTAGTGTGTCAACAGAGGACGCACGAACGAAGACTTTGACAGGAATGAAAATGGCGGAAAGTGAATCTGATGGAGAGGAAGCTAGAATGTTTCACAGCTCATTGATGTATGGCAATAATGACACACCTGATAAAACAAGGAACAGAGTAAAGTCAAGTTCTAGCTTAGTATCAAATTGAATGCAATGTTTAATCATTAAAGATAATTATGGATGACAAGAGCAAATATACGTTTTGAATTTTAAAGCACCATTCTATTACAAAATATATGACGAATTTAAATAAAATGAATTTTTAAAACATCAATGTTTTGACCCATCGTTTTTATACGCCCGTTTACGGGACGTATTATATTCTAACATGACGTTCTTCAAACGCTTTTGAGTACACACCCGTGGTAAAATATGAATATATTGTTTGGGCTGTTCCGATCGTACTCCCGCGTCATATGCTTTTTTATGAATGAGCTACCCGACGTCATAGAACAATGACGTAAGAATATAAGCATTTTACGGGAAAATACACGCTTGTGAAACCGAAAATCATCACAACAAGGAAACGTAAACAAACGATGCTAAAATGTGTTATATAAGCCATTTTTTATTTCCATATAAGATATATAAATACAATTATTATTTACCGGTAGATTCATTCAAACCTATCTAAATATGTCATTGTAAATAGTTTAAGCATGCCATTTATTCAGTTTGCTCCGTTCTTTTACGTCAATTTAATAGTGCGTTTATTTATGGGAACGGCAAATAATGCCTTCACCTAGAGCGCTTCGATCCAAAAGAATTGCCGTATTTGTCCTATTAGAATCGAAATAATTCATGGGGGCTTGAATATATCATGATTTTACCACGGGTTGTCCCTTTATGCCGATATTTTACCCCTCGCTACCGCTCAGGGTAAAATATTTGTCATAAAGGGCCAACCCGTGGTAAAATCACGATATATTCAAGCCCCCATGAATTATTTCTTAAGTATACCGTTGTTCGTCCGTCCGTCGTCCGTCAACATGTCGGGCAATAACTCAAAAACGCTCTAACCAATTTGCATGAAACATTTGTGAATTGTTTGTATCTATTGACGTGAGCTCGCTTTCGTTTTTATAAATTTTAGATTTTGCGTTTCCGAGTTATGTGAGTTTTATTCATTAAAAGAGGGTTTTTTTCCAGTTTTCGGACAATAACTCAAAAGTTTTTTCAGCAGTTTTCATGAAATTTTGGTGACTGGCTTATATCTATTAAAATAACCTCCCTTTAGTTTTTAATAAATTTCTGATATGACATTGAGGAGTTATGGAACTTTATTCCTGTTTAAGCGGCGGGCGTATCATGTGCTCATGGTGCAGCTCTTTATTTATTATAGTTTACATAGTTCTGAACTTGTTTTTTACCTATTCTCACAATCGCCTACTCTCGTCATGCAAAGAAAACAAGTCTTGCACAGGCGCTTGGGTATATGATACAGAAATTTTTTTTTTAATTTTTTTTTGTTGATCAAAATATTCAATTTTCTGTATTTATACTACTTATCTATCACTACTGCGTATGTCTCACCTAGTTTCGAGTGATTTTACCAACTTTGAGACAAACCCCCATTTTACTATCCACACTAAGAAACAAAAAGGCAACTAACTCGACGCCATCTTGCGTGCTATAAATAAATAATAAAATTGACCTACCTGGATTCCCCGTCGATTTTTATGGAAAACATGCCTTTCTCGCAGTCCGATCGCAGACGTCGTTTCTATTTATCAAGTTGGTACTGTTCGTAATATTTTTAGTCCATCTCAAGCATATAATAAAAAGATTTTCACTATTTTCACTAAATTCAAATTTACGTGCCCGGAAGTTTACTGTTAATATTCAGGGGAAGTTACTTTTTCCCGAACTTTTGTTAAAGGGAAGTAATATTTTCCCGGACTTTTTCGGAACATCTCTGCAAGTACACATAAAAGAAAGAAAGGGGTACGATGATTTCCGAACTAATACTGAATGTAAACAAACAGATATGATGGACGAAGAACAAGTTCAAGCCTTAAATTTTGATGGTTAGTGCAACCCCTCCCCCCTCAAAAAAAATAAAATAAAAAAATTATCAGATCAAATGGTCCACGGATTATTTTTTTAATTCTTTTCATAAGACATTTGTGTGAGCATCTGTATATTCATAAATTACCATGAAACTATGTTTTCCTTCGTAATTTCTTCCGTTGGTTGACTTGCCATTATTTCTAAAACAGATCTTTTCTTTTTTCAGCAACGAAAAAGTTGCGCCTTTTTTATAATAGTTCGGAAATCATCGTATCCCTTTATTTGTTTCATGTGTACTTGCAGAGATGTTCCGAAAAAGTCCGGGAAAATATTACTTCCCTTTAACAAAAGTTCGGGAAAAAGTAACTTCCCCTGAATATTAACAGTAAACTTCCGGGCACGTAAATTTGAATTTAGTGAAAATAGTGAAAATCTTTTTATTATATGCTTGAGATGGACTAAAAATATTACGAACAGTACCAATTTGATAAATAGAAACGACGTCTGCGATCGGACTGCGAGAAAGGCATGTTTTCCATAAAATCGACGGGGAATCCAGGTAGGTCAATTTTATTATTTATTTATAGCACGTAAGATGGCGTCGAGTTAGTTGCCTTTTTGTTTCTTAGTGTGGATAGTAAAATGGGGGTTTGTCTCAAAGTTGGTAAAATCACTCGAAACTAGGTGAGACATGCGCAGTAGTGATAGATAAGTAGTATAAATATAGAAAATTGAATATTTTGATCAACAACAAAAAAAATTAAAAAAAAAATTTCTGTATCATATACCCAAGCGCCTGTGAAGTCTTGGTATAAAGTTGTTATAAATATATTTGAATCACCCTGTCTGTCTGTTTGTCCATATGAATTGTAAGCTTACTCATAAACGGCTTGACTTTACACATTTGTAGAACGGAACTTTACATGGAGATTGGCATTAATGGTGTTAAGATAATCCTTTTCCAACATGCTAAAGGGGAGATAATCGAATTTACTTTCGTCGTCTGTCCGTCCGTGTATGTCCAACTCCTAAACGGCTCGACGGATATGGCAGAAATTTTACGCAGTTGTAGAATACTTCATATGAATGTGCATAAAGAAATATAAATGAATAAATGATAATCCCCGTCCAATATGTTAAGGGGAAGATAATCTAATTTACGCACTTCAATTTTGCAATATGGGGTAATAACTTGTAAGCCTAACTCCTTTTAAACGGCTAGATGGATATTGATGATACTTCACACAGTTGTTTAACGCTACTGGAGGATGTGCACAAGGAACACAATATCGGTTCCACGAGCTAAAATGGAGACAATTGAACTTACTGACTTATTTCTATGATGCAATGCAATTTGTGGTAAGAGACGCAGATCCCGGATTTGAAATTATGGGCGCTCCTCAGAGTTAGGAGTTAGAGGACCATATTTTAACCAAAAAAATTACCTTCCCTGCAAACACTGAAAACTTTTATCTTTTCAATGTTTTTTCCGTCTAGTAAGGACATTATTTATTATAATTTACAAGAAAACGTTCTAGTAAATAGTGAAAACAAAAAATAAATTGAAATCAAAAATAAATTTCCATGTAATGTTATCATTAGTTTAAACAGTATTTTATTCAAATAAATTGAATTCGATTGGGCAACAGGCAAAGCCTATGTAAGCCATCTCTTGTCATTTCCCTCATTATATAGCACACGACGAGTAAAGCAGGCTACTGGAGCTTTGTGTAAAATTGGTTTATGATGTTTCTCCCGTCTAGTAAGGACGTTTACAAGAAAACGTTCTAGTAAATAGTATTAAAAACAAAAGTAAATTGAAATAAAAACAAAATGTCCATGTTCTGTTATCATTATCCTCCTAATATAGTAAACGACCGACGAGGAAAGCAGTCTACAGGAGATTTGTGGAAAATTGAATTAGTTGTGCCATTCCAAAAAATCCTCGAATTCCAAATTCAAACATTTTTCTACTGGCTGTATACCTCTCTGGAACATGCCAATTTTCGGTATACATGAATGTATGCCGCTAGATCAGAGCAGTTCGGGAAAAATACCAAAGGAATCGATCGATATGCAGCAAAGATTAACACCTTTGAAATCTAGTTAATAAGCTTATCCCGATGTAAACATTTTGATGTAAATACATCGAGAAGACCGCATTTCGAGTACAAAAATCGAGACGACCTTTTCTTAAAATTGTAAAAAAAACAAAAAAGTAAAAATCTTTTCAGCATGCGAACTTGAAGCATTTCATATCATGTGATGTGCTACGATACATGTTAATGTTGGTTAAACAATGTGTGATTATGTTGATTTGCTTAGTTATCCCTAAAAAGTACTCTTACGGAAGTAAAAAAAAATTGTTTTAAGGATGTACTTAGATCAGGTTTAGGAATTTGTGTCAGATGTTCGGACTCCTTGGTTTTTTTCCTACGATACAGGGTAAAATATTTTGCCCCATAACACCCATTTTTCTTTTCATATAAGACTTCAAAAGCTCATAAAAGGTCATTTACCAAAATTTAAGCCGAATCTAGATTTCTTTTCTTTCGATTTGAGACCCAAATAATACCAATACAAATATAAGGTAAAAGTCCGAGTCAGCCTTTTCCCGCCATAAAAAAATGAAATATCTCGAAAAGAGCTCCATAACCTATCAATATTTTTAGCTTATTTTGTTCCTTAACTAATGCTCTTCCTACTTATAGTATCAATTTTAAATTCTAGATTTTTTTTTTAATTTCACCTAGGTACATCCTTAACTAAAGACAAATAGTCACAAAACAACTGATTTTGGTAGGTTTATATCATTTTGGATCTTGAAGATGCATAAATAAAATTACATTGGAATAAATTTACACACAAATGTAAAAGATTGTTCTGTGAAAAGCATTTACTTGTTTGTATCTCTGCCCCGGCAATAGTATTTTGAAAAAAAAATCCTGAAAATTGGTAACAATCTTATTTTATTTAGAAAGTCAGGTACAAATTTCATATGCAAGAGCGTGTTTGAGTCCACTATTTTGTCCTTTAAATGTATAATACAGAAACAAAGAGTATATCATCTTGCTTCAGCTTCCATTACTTTTATATTTTAAAGCTAAATGTTTATATATTAACATCAAATTTCATATCACAAGAAAACAAAATATATGGGTCAAGTGAAATATCTTAGTAATGAGACAGTCAGCATAACAGGTTTGGTGTGTTTGAATATAAAAATGACCGTGTGCTAAATTGTTAAACGTCTTACTCGTAAAT